AGTTTTGGTGGGCAGGTATGAAAAAGGACATTGCTCTTTTTGTCTCCCGATGTAGTACTTGTCAGATGGTCAAGATTGATCATCAAAGGCCGCCAGGAGCTCTACAGCCACTACCAATACCGGAGTGGAAATGAGAGAGCATTTCTATGGATTTTGTGAAAGGATTGCCAAATTCTTTCAAGGGGCATAATTCCATATGGGTCATTGTGGATAGGTTGACCAAGTCAGCTCATTTTTTGCCTATTTGCACGGACTACACTTCGGAGCAGTTGGCGAGGCTTTACATTTCAGAAATTGTGAAGCTACATGGCATTCCATTGTCTATTATATCAGACAAGGATTCGAGCTTTGTATCTGGATTTTGGAAGAGCTTTCAGCAAGCTTTGGGTACGGAGTTACATCTTAGTACTACTTATCATCCTCAGACTGACGGACAGACTGAGAGGGTGAATCAGATTATGGAAGATATGCTTCGATCATGTGTTCTTGATTTCAAGGGCCATTGGGAGGATTACTTGCCACTTGTGGAGTTTGCGTATAACAATACTTTTCAGAAGACTATTGGTATGGCACCATTTGAGGCATTGTACAGTCGACCGTGTCGATCACCTGTTTGTTGGATGGAGGTTGGAGAGAATCGATTCTTGGGTCCTGAGTTCATAAAGGATACCTCTGAAAAGATTGCACTTATTAGGGATCGCATGCGTACTGCTCAGAGTAGGCAGAAGAGTTATGCTGATCGGCGTACTCGTGCTTTGGAGTTTAGAGTTGGAGATCAGGTTCTACTTAAAGTGTCCCCTATGAAAGGCGTTATGCGTTTTGGGAAGAAAGGGAAGTTGGCACTGCGGTTTGTCGGTCCATTCATGATTACGGATCGTGTTAGAGCTGTTGCTTATCGGTTGGCACTTCCGGATAACTTGGATCGCGTTCATAACGTGGTCTATGTTTCCATGTTGCGGAAATTTCTGTGAGATGAAGATCGGTATCAGCATATCGATGTTGGGGAGATTGAGTTGCAGCCGGATGCAACTTACTTGGAGCCACCATGTCGTATTGTCGACCATAGGGATCAAATCCTTCGTAATAAGGTTATCCCTTTGGTGCATGTTCAGTGGAGTCATCACAATGAGACTGAGTCTACTTGGGAATGGGAAGATGTCATTCGCTCACAGTTTCCTGAAATATTGGAAGAAGGTAAGAGCGAATTCCGAGGACGAAATTCCTTTTGTTAGGGGGGAAGAATGTAATACCCCTAATTTTTAAAGGATAGTCCTGATATTTATTTATTTGTTTAATTGCATTTTATTTTATTTTATTGATTATTTGTTTGTTGGATTGTTTGAATTAATTGTGATTTTATTTAATTGTTATTTTAATTAGTTTTGGTTTTGTTTGAATTGATTAATTGAGTATTTTCATTTTTATTTTAATGGGTTGTTTTAAATTGACTTAATTTATTTTACTTAACTTAATTGGTTTAATTTAAATGTTTAATTAATTCACGGTGTAATTATTTTATTTATCTAAATTTAGGGTTTTAGGATTTAACGTTGGCCGACTTATAGTTAGAGTTGGAGTAGGTTTGGTAAATTGAAGCCTATATATATATAAGCTTACTGGGGTTAGGGTTTTAGAAAAACAAGACACAAGTTACGTCTGTATCACCAGGGACTGCTAAGAAACAGAGAGTGAGAGAGGGGGCGTAGCAAAGTAGAACACAGGAAAATTTAGAGACGTGGAATAAGTGAAAAGGCAAGTTTCTGATCTTCTCTTTCCCAGGAGTTTGTGTTCTGTGCATGCTTAGTTATACTCTAGGAATTAAAGTAAGACTTAATGACATCGTTTTACATGTTGGAACAGTTTTTTAAACATCATTGAGTATAATCTGTTTTCATAGTTTTACATGTTCAACTTAAAATCTGATTGTTGATACTTTACAAATTGAGATTTAAATTCCGTTCTTGTTTGTATAACTCTATCTTGTGGTTACTTTGGGATCTTAAAACCTGAAATTAAACATGTTAAATAAGTTTCTAGCATCATTGAATTAAATCTGGTTTTCAGTTGATTACAAGTTCAGTCTTTTATGTGGTTGTCGTTGTTTCAAACTTTGGTCTGTTAATCAACTAAAAGAGGTATGACTCTTTTTTGTGATTAATCTGGGATGAGGATAGGACTTTAAAGTCTGTAATAAAACTATTTTTTAAGACTGAAACCGCCGGAGTCGAAGATAACAAATGCAGATCAAGCCAGGGCTCTTAGGGGTGAGAGCAGGCTCCAAAAATGGAGGGAGCCTGCTCCCAAAACACTAGAGCCGGCTCTCTAGGGGTGAGAGACGGCTCCCAAGGAAGAGGATCCGGCTCTCCTAGTTTGGAGAAGGCTCTGTGAAACTCAGAGCCTTCTCTTTCTCTAAATATTGCGTATATTGAGTTTTAGGGGTCTGTTTGGCTGAGACTGAGGGTTCTATAACTTTTTAAAGGCTACTGGGTGAGTTAATATATTGTGTAAGACATAAAAAATAACTGAGAAACATGCTTACATCCAGGAATTGAGGGCAGAATTAACATAAGTCTGAGCAAGGGTTTGTATGTGGATTTTTATGCAACTGACTTTTAATTGCAAACTGTTTTGCAACTTGGTTTCTTTGCATGTTCTTAGGTATTTAAATCATGTTTTGCAGCTCTGTTATAAGCATGTTGTTATTCAATAATGTGTATGCTTAGTTGGAATAAATTGATGCTTAAACCTGTACATAGATGCACCAGTTAAGGTTCTATTTGGAGAGGCAAAATGTATAAACCTGTTTTATCAATTTAATGAACTGAAATATGGAGTCTGAATCTTTCAGTGGAGGTATGGTTTAGTTATACACATGTTAAACTATACTTATGCTTGTTTTGGAATGCGGTTGATAGTTAATTCTACTATTTTTGTCAACTATGTTAACTGGAGGATAATATGCACCGGTATGGGACGGTGGCATACCAGGTATGGACTTGGTTTAGACACTAAGCCTACCTAAACTGGATTGAGGTTCGGATTAACAATAAAAGTAAGTCCGAGTTCTATTAGTGTCAGGACAGTAAATAACTGAATGACATACTTGGATTTCTGGGATGAATTGTTATACAGATATCGAGCCACTATATCAGATGGATGATATCTTGTATCAGGAGGACACAGACTTTATATATTTATGTTATGATACCATGGTATGAGCTTGAGTCTCATGACCACGGTTAGGGTGCGTATATCGCCTAGGATGGATAGCTGGACAGATGTGTTGTTCCCTGGTAGGTCTAGGTACACATGACCACGTAATGTGCAATTTGCATGGTATCTCTACTAAGGCTAAGACAGGCCTATTGGACTAGTGAGCGTCTTATAGTGTGTAATATATACATATATGGACTACTCTAAATATTGTTGAGTCTATCTAAGATATATCTGCGTATCGAATTCCTGTTTGGATTGTAGTAGATCAGGACTTGCATGTGGGCCTGACCTACAATTTTTTTTTTTTTTTTTTTTTTTTTTTTTTTTTTTTTTTTTTTCAGGTGTTCATCAGTTCCAGGGTTAAGGCTTGGACGTGCAGAGCAGCTACGGATATTCATTCATCCGACTATGTAGGAATCTTCTTTATGTTAGCTTTAGACTTTATTTCTGTTATTTCAGTTTCGGTTTGAGAATTTTTAATAAGGGGTTCAATGGATGGATTCCCAAGTTGTAAACCTATGGGATTTGGATTTAGCAGTTTTGAATAATTATATTATTTAAAGGATTTTCAATTAGCATTCTTTCAGCTTATTATTATTATTATTATTATTATTATTATTATTATTTATTTCATCTTGTATTCTGTGTTCGGTTACATATTAATTGTTTGATATCCCTCGGGTTTGGGCCTGAGCCTGATCAACCCGTGTCTCGGATGCAAGAGGTATCACAGTGCGCCCATGTGAAGAAGATAAATGTTGATCATAAGAGGGTATTATTCAAGCATTTGAAGAAGTTTCACAAGCCCTACACATCAATGGAAATGACCAAGAAGATTGAAGCTATTGAAGGAGGTGGAATAGAAGATCAACCATTGAACCTTTGATCAAGATCCCCAGATTAATAAGATTCTCAAGTTACAAAAATCAAGTTTAAAGGGGGGTATTGTATAATAAACTTGATTTTAGTATTTTAGTATTTAATATTTTCAAGTATTTTTATATCCATAATGCATGTGTGAATTTATCATATATGTTAGTAGGTAGTAAATTGTCTTAGTGGGAGTTAAGGTTATGTAAAATCAAGAGTCATGAAAGTTGAACCTAGTAAATATTATGTTAGTGGGAGTTATGCCTATTGAAGATTATGTTGGTTGGATAAATGAGAGTTATGGGCATTTATATGTAATTCATAGATATGTGATTTCAAGGCCTGTATAATCATGTGCTCTAGCAATTTTATTAAGAGATAAGTGAAATAATATATTTCTTCCTCCATTTCTCTTTCAAATTATATAGAGTTGCATTTGTTTGTATAACCCACTATTTCCAACAAAGTGGTATCAGAGGAAAGTCAGAAAGTGGTATTAGAGAAACCGTCAACAAAAGTTTAGAGAGAGAGAAATGGGTTTGCAGATAGAGAAAAGGGAGAGTTTGGGAAGAGAGAGTTTTGAGGGGAGTGTTTGGTTAGATAGATAATATATAGCCAAACATAATCGTTGAGGGACAATTTGGGCATTAAAATTTAATTTTTTTGTTGATGTCGGCAAAAAATATCTCTGACCAGCTTTGACGGTTGATTGAGGAGGAAGACCCCTTGATTGAGGAGGAAGACTGATTTGTGTCAGAAAAAATAAGAAGCCTGACTGAATTTTTGCAGATGTGAAGAGGTTTCCTTAAATATTAAACAAGTAATTGAAGTTAACCCAAAAAAAACAAATCATATTTGAAAATACCCATTTATTATTACTTTTATTGTGTGTATTCGTGACATATCAGCGATTCAGCAGATAGGATCACTTACAGAGTCACAGGTGACCGGTGAGAGCGGGTGGCTGCGCCAGACTCACACTTGCGGAATTTATAGAGGGGTAGGTGGCCCAGCGTTGACGATGCTTACTTCTGCAGAACTCGCTCGCGCGGTCCTCCGCCATCCCAACCCACCACCACCCCCTAATTATATAGAACTTCTATATATATAAATATAAATATATTATATGAATGTGAGTGTATGTATAATGTTCTATGGCAAACACACCCTTTTCCTTTCATACCCATCAATTTTCAGGTTTCTCTTTTTCATACGCTATACTATTACTTTGCATCAAATGAATTGTACATTCTCTAGTTTCAGTTTTGATTTCTTGTGCTTAGCATTCTGGGGTTCTCTATTTTGTACTGAAGTTATAGATGACACCAAATTACAATTCTACGAAAAATTTAAGCTTGAGTGTTCGTATTTTTCCTCAGTTTAATTGTTCTTGCAGGCTAAGCGAAGGACAGTGAGAACTATGTAGCGTCTCACAATGTGGGAATCACTCTTTGAACTGGAAGAAGCTTTTTGGATGGTAAACTTTATCTTTGACACATAACTTCTACAAGGGAGACATTGTGTTTGTAAAAAAGATTCAATGAAGTTTCCCGTGAAAATATTTTCTGGGACTATGTTTAAGAGCTAATGATCACATCACATGTACTTCTGTAAGGAGGTACGCCGTGTTCATATAGCATTTATATCGAGTATACATACTCCATTATCGGATACATAATCCTTATAAAACACATACCCAATATTTGTCACATATTTTGAAACACATGCTCCCAAGATGAACCTATTCAAGGACTAAGAAGGGCCAAAACCCCCAAAATTTTGCAAATTCCTAACAGTTTGCCTCCCATGTGAATAATATAAGCAAAGCTTAGCACGTGAGAAGTTTTTCACTTCTCATGTATATGGGTGTACTTCTGTGTAGAACTTGATCCTTGTAGCTAACTCCTTAAGATAGGTAGGGTAGCTAAGCTCTCTGTCTCTCTCTCGATCTCGATAAGCTTGTTCATCAATCATCAATTCTATCAGTTGCAAAAAAATGAACCTATTTAAGTGACATATTAGAATCAGCAAGAAGTTGTCTTGCGAGGAAATATTTGGTTATATACTGAATTCGGATATTTGATACTCAATCTTAGAAATTCTATATGGGAAATCAAGGTCTTGCTAGATGGAACCCAAGGAGGATTACAAGCTAGGTTTATGCCTTTGGTTTAAGTTCAACCAATGCATAAGGATTTAGGATCAGTCCCATTGTTTTCTACAAGCTAAGTAGTTTGTCTTGAATTGCTTGTTTGCTGGAAAAACATTGTTCTCAATTGCTCCTGCTATCTGCATTTTGAACTCGTTTTTACTGTTTTTGTGCCTCAGTGGCACGAGTTTAAATTTTCCATCAGTTATGAGAACATTATTTGAATAACAAAGACAATGTAACAAAAATAGGATATAATTCTTACATGAGATATAGTGCCAGTGCCCTCTTTACAAAAAACAGTATACCACCACTAGTGTGCAACCAGATAAGGCTTCTCGGAATTTCGTTGATGAGCATTGAAACACAAGTCATAATCAGTTCTACACGACTGATTCGGATAATGTTTCGGATAATGGTACGATGTTGATTGATCAGAATGGTAACAGTGCGTAAACAACGTTGGCCTTGCATTATGCATCTATTATTGTACGTTATCAAATATATCTCGTTATGTGAGTGGTGATGTGGCGAGCTTCAGCAAATTGAGCTTGACAGCGTGAGAAAAGTAATTGGATTGAAAAGATGATAAGGGGTGGTAATAGAAATTCTAATTAAGCCAATCTACATATAACATGTCCTCAAGCTGAGCCAAGTTCCCATGCAACCATGGCCATTGATATCTATCTGCCTGGCAATAATGATGGAAGCAGTGGTGTCGTCATTAAGTGCTACTATAAAAAAAAGCATAGAATTATTTCAATTAAATTCAAGAACGTCCATTATAATGACACCGGAATCCTTCTCTTATTGTTTCTCATGTAGCATTTAGTTTTTGAGCTTTTTCAAAAGCTCATGATGAATTTTTAGTCCTTGATTATATGTCTTGAGATTACAGTTTTGAGTGAGTATCTGAGATAAGAAAACAAATTCATATTATTTGGACACAGTCTATTGTTAGTTGTTATTTGTGACATAAGTAACTGATATTGCTCATTTATTCTTTGCAGTGTACTTGATGATCAGCAAAAAGATATAAAGAGAAACTCCAGGGAACAAAGGAAGGAGGTGCAACAATGCAATGGTTGGACGACTGGTTTGTATGTTGAAAGAGAGGTGGTCCAGCCGCATGATTGATGTTGTGTAAGTGACCAATGAGCCATAAGATTCTAAAAATTAAGATATTGACAGCTTGTTAGTTGATCGAAATGGAAAGTCCAAAGTAGCAGAAGAAGATCCTATAAATGGTTTAAGATGCCAAGAAGTTGATTTAGTGAAGTACCAATATACCCTTGTACTAATCAGAGTGTACTATATCACAATAGTGGCAATAAATATATACCCATGATATATATATGTTCATTGAAATGATGGCTTGAACAATGGACGACAGTTTGAAGAGAAAAATTGGAGAAAGTCTTTAGTGCACGGGTGATACCATGGCATCGTGTCACCAACCAATTGTATTTTGTCACGTAAGAAACAATATATCTATTTTAGTGGTGCTATCACTATGTGTCGGCATATAAAACTAGTCGTGGAGAGCAGTCAGTTTCACCATCAAAGTTCTTTGGATAATTTGGCTTTTATACAGGAGGATCACATTTTCTTTGGTTGTCGCTTCTTTGTCATTTTGGAGGATGTCTAAAGTTTGGGACCCATTTAACACGTGAGGACGGTGCATGTTGTCAATTCTACAAGGGAAACAAATTGGTCATTTTCAAATTAACCTACACCAATCCCTTCTCCACCAACTATGATCTATCGCTCGAGGAAAAAAAAAAAAAAAACTTACTATGATCTATCTCTCTTAGTTGGGACTCCTGGCCACAACCCTTTGCCTTTCACACTTCCTAGGTCATTCATTGTCCATTATCGTACTCACAAACTCACTCTCATGTGTTATTTATACGTTCTCTTCCTTTTGAAGTGTAGTGTGTTTGTGACAATCAGAGATATAGTATCATGGGAGACTCCTCTGCTTCATACATACACATGGTAATTGAAATAGGATTTGAGTATTCATTTTGATCATTCATGTTTGATTTCTGTTGACTGTTAATTGTTTTTTTTTTCTTCGATGACTCGGGTGTCCGTGGCTTTGCCCTGACTAATAATCCACGGGAGCTAGCCGTGCAAGGCGCTCCCCACCCGAATCAGGTAAAGTTCGGACTATATCCGCGGGCGTGTTGTTTGCACCTAGGAGGAATCGATATTGAGACATGATGCTTTATGAGGCACCAGAGCCCAAGCCTTTTCCAACTAGGCCAACCCCTTAGGGTTACTATTAACTGTTTTTATTGTTGTTAAATTGTTAATGTGTCTTATTTTCTGTTTTGTAGTTGCAGCACCTGATAGAGAAGTGTCTGACCTTCGGCATGACAAAAGAAGAGTGCATGGAAGCCCTTCTTAAACATGCGGACATCAAACCAGTCATCACTTCCACTGGTAAATTACTTCCTTCTCACCTCTCCTTTTCAGATTCTCTTGCATTTCTAGTTTCCATTTACTTATCAGCGCACACATGCACAGATGCTAAACAGATGAAATGCTAGGGTCGCATATGTTCTGTCATATTTTATATAACAAGTTGTTAATTTTGTTCTGATTTGGCTAACTGCATATTAAAGCTGCACATTTGAAAACTCGTGTAGATTGATGATATGATTGAGTTCTTTCCTATACCGGCATTATTTTCGTTATACTGATGTTCTATACCTGTATTGTTGCTTAATTGTTTTATTAATTCTGTTTATGAATAGCTAAACAGTTTTTCAACACTTCAGTAGAATTAGAAATTATATAAAATCCCCCAACAACTAAAGTCTTTGTAGATGACATGTATACACACACCTATGTTTTATTATTTTAATCATAAACGTCTGTATCGAATAAATCTCTATATAAATTGCATTCATGCTATCTTAGTGATATGTTTTCATGTATATTATGTTTCATGCAATTCATGGGTTTGTTATTATTGTTTTATACATTTAAGTCTGTTCTTCTGGACGTACTTCTCTGTGGAAGTAAAATACTGTTAGTTAATATAACAATTTCAATACAGAAAAAATAGTCATTAAGAAAATACTCATTATTTATGTATGATAATTTAGAAAAGTCACTTACTAAGAGAGTACAAAACAAAATATTGAGTGGACTAGTATTTTTACACTATCAAAAGATATGTTTTTTAATTTCGACAATAATGTATACTGTGAAATGTGTTTTTTTTTTTTTAATTTTTTTTCCGAATTCTACATTTTATTTCGACAATTGTAATGATTTATTTTATATTGTTCAGTTCCAACTAGTAATTATATGTTTTATTATTATCAAAACTATTTTGATATGAAAAATATACATTAGTGACGTGAAATTGAAACTTTCTTTTTCAATATGTCCCTCATGCGTGGAAAATAAATATGATTGTGATTGAAGATGACTAGTCTAAGGGTACTTTCTCACATTTTAAAATAAAGTATCCAATAGGAACAATTTGGGTGTGTAAATTTCAGCAAGGGAAAAAAAAAAAGCAAAAAGGAAAGATGTGCTGCATGGAAAAGTATGAATTATTAGATGTGTACTTGCAAGAGAAGTTAGCATTTTCATGCTCTACAAAGACAAATAAAAATACAAAGACCAAAAGTCTTTTAGGTTGGTCTCTTTGACTAGTTTTTTATGTATATATAGCACCCTCATTTTCTTTATACTTATGTTCTATATCGTTGTTTTATTAATTCTGTTTATGAATAATTGAATGGGTTTTCAATGCTTCTTAGAAATCTGCAATTATACAAAATCCCTTGACATATATGTATGAGTTATGTTGGATGTTTGATGCAGTGTGGAACGAGCTAGAGAAAGAAAACAAGGAATTCTTTGAGGCATACAATCAATCCCGGAGCAAAGATGATCGAATGTCCGAGGAGGAGATGACCCAAATGATCAAGATGATGATATCAGAATCCAAGTCCGATGACTGAGAAGCTATATGTATATGAGGTCTGGATTGTGGGTGGCAAACATGGTATTGCTGTTGGTTAGTACCATATCCAGCCGGCAAACTCAACTCAGTAGTACTTTGATAAGTATGTGGTCCTCACTCAACTTGAATCGATCTATGTGGTCCATGTATATTAAATACTGTATATGGAGTAATAAGGAAGAGGAAGGAGAAGGTTGGGCCTTCGTTTAACCAGGTGGTGATTGGAGAGTTTCCATAACCGTTTCTTGGTCCGGTACCGCATGTAAGTACCGCCTAGTTATTATATACTTTCTACTGATTATTTGGAGTACTCTTTATAGTGTCGTGTGTTTTATTGGATTGGATTGTACAATGTCGACAATAACTATGTTTGAATCGAATAAAAGTGGGGAGGCCTTTGTCTAAGCAGGTGGTTGTTGGAGAGTTTTTATGACTGTCTATTAACCGGGATACCACATATAATTACTGCTGAGTTATTATGTATTTTCTCGTAATTATCTGGAGTACTCTTGTGTTTTATTGGACTGGACTATGTTTTGTTTTATGTATAATAACGATCTAGTCTACATTAGGATGATACCCTTAAATTTTCCATGTAAATGAGGTTTGAGTTCTTAAAATTGTTTTGCACGAGGGTCCCAATTCTCTTTGTGCACAAATTTTTGTATTGTATCTTGTTGTGTAACATTTTTATTTAACAAATGTAACATTTTCATTACCTACCACTTTGCTATGAGAAAGTAACATCCACTTCTTACAAAAAGTGTTTGCATAAACTATATTTGTCTCCTTGCTCATAAAGAGAAAGTTATATTGTATTGGATAGGGGAAAAAAAATGAAGTTAAAATTAATTAGCTAATTTGGGATCATTTTGTTATTTTTTTTTTTAGTTCGTTTTCAATATTGTTAAGGGCAAGTGGTAAATGACCAAGATATGTGGTGCTTAGGAGAAGTGCTCCCCTCAATATATATATATATATATATATTTAAAATTTTCATTTTGTATTTATAGAATTATAAAATTTTTGAACCCTACACTTCTAATCATTACACTCCAACTTAATTTCACATCATTTTTATTTATTTATCTATTTATTATTATTATTATTATTATTATTTTTTATGTCATCGGTAAGAAACACACTCTCACTCACACACTCAGATTGCCCTTTTGGAGATCGAACCTTCGTCATTTACTTTGAGAGATAAAGGATGAGAAGGTATTTAGTGTGCCCGGTGCACCGTGCATCAGGCACATCAAAGTCGTAACGACTCTAATTATCCCGTGCACGATTCACTAGGCATACCAAACCAAATATATTCAGACCCTTAATTAATCTCTCACCATTGGAAACTCTGTATCTCCATCTTTACTCTCTTTTGTTTTTGGTCACCATAGTAGAAATTCAAGCCACAAGACCAGTAGTTCTGTCTAAGTACCTTTCTCCAGCACAATACAGTATATCCTAAGTATTTATTATGGTACAACACAATATCTTGAGTATCTACTATGGGGACCACATTCGCAAACAAACAATCAAGTCAATTTTTTTTTTTTTTTTTGTCGCCTTGTATGTTGTATCACAATCTCTAAGAAGAGACGGAAAAAATCTTAAATACAATATCTTTGTCTATTTACATGAAAATCATGAATACTAGAAAAAAGTGAAGACCCATATTATAAAGTGCGAAATTCCAGTATTTTGTTTGGTTTAATTAAGGATCAATTAGCTTATGATTTAGAGAATAGAACAAAAATATTGAAGTTTTCAAATCAAAGATAGGTTTCATTCATTAATTTTTAATTCTTGCAAGAGAGAACTTTTTAAATTTATTGAGTCATAATTAATTTAACTTATTGATTTTTTTTTTCAAACATTATTCATTATAAGAGGAAATGAGGGATATAATAGATCACATGCACATATTTGAATGTATGACTTTTATATACAATAATATTTATTCCTTCAATTTGTTGAAAATCTTGTTTAATATAAAAATTCATCAAAGACAATTACAAATGTAATAAAAAATATTATCAATCAATATTAAGTTCTTATATTTATTATTTTAAATTTTTTATCTTCAATTTCTTTCATCTTATTACTTTTCAATGTTACTCCCCTCAATTGAATTTCTGGCACTATCACTCGAAGGGCCTATTTGGCGACCATTTTTATTGTGTGTTTCGTGTTGCGGGTGATGTATTATAATGAAGCAAAACACTGCAACACGGTTGTTGTCATTTGAATGGTACTACATTTGTTGTCGAAAAGAGACCAAAATAGATAATATCAAATTGGTATTTCCAAATATTTTTACACTATAGCAAAAACCTTTGTAGTAGTGGGAAAAAAAGAAAAAGAAAAAGAAAAAACTAAATTGTAGTAGGACTTTTTTATCTAGCCATTTTGTTACCTAAAATTTTAACATTTTTTTGCTACACATTTTTTTTAATAATATTTTTACTTTAAAAAATCTTATAACAAATTTTACGTTATCAAACGTGTTTTCAATTACAATTTACAAACGAATGCACCCACAACAAAAAAAGAGTTGTTTCTGTTTTAAATAAAAACAAAAATGCAAAACTAAAATGGTTGCCATCCGGCAAATATCTAATGTGTGTGTGTGTGTGTGTGTGTGTTTTTTTTTTTTCAAATAGTCCAATTATATGGTGACACGTCATTAGTAACCAAGCACGTACCCCAACGTGCCCGTGCCCACCAGTGAGTGCTTCGTGTTTTAATTGCACGCTCGCGATGGGGTCGTGAGGACATAAAGAGGCACGGTGGAAGTGATAACTTGACGGGTCGCACGAATTTCGTGCCAGCGACGCATCATTCAAATATCTGTCCAATCAACTTTTGATGGTATGATAGCATAGTGCCGTATTGTTACAGGTGTCCCACGTCAGATCCGAATGGGAGGTGAAATGGGTATAAACGGATGGGTATGTAACATTATCCAATAGCTTAAACTTTTGGGTCAGCGAACAAGTGCCCATTTGTTACAGTTGATATAAGAGATAAACCTACTTCTTGATCCATCGTCATGCCAAGCACCCGACCCGAAGGAGTCTGGGTTGTTAGGGTGACTCGATCATAGCGATGGCGTTGTTAGTTCGGGTAATGGGTGAGTATGCAGCATTACCTAATATTTTAAGCTTGGCAAATACCCACCCGTGACACCTACTATGGTGGTGATGGGGGGCTACCACATCCAAGGTTGGCTCGCCCACCCATGACACCTACAAATGGTGGTGAGCGTACGATATGCCGAAGTATACATACTTTTGTAGCTAGTAGTTTAATATTTAAGTTTAGTTCACAGTTCAATATCTGAATCTTCGATTGTTAGATGCTATAATTTTTCAAGGCAATTAAATCTATTTCAACTGCTCAACCCACCAAGTTAAAGCCCTAATTCACGAAAGGGTTACAGGCTCAAACCTGTAACAACCCAAACCTGGGGTCCAAATCGGTAACCGGGTCCTTACCCAAACTCGAGGTCATACAAGGGTACTATGGTCATTTCACGTCATTAAAATAGTTCTAGAGTCCATAAGGGTATAATTTCCATGGTTAAATAATGGTTTAAGATCCAAAAAGGGTAAACTAGTCATTTGGTACATTTATTATAGCTTCACAACTCATTAGGGGTAAAACTGTCATTTTTATGGCCAATCTATGCTTTAGTTAAAGTCTTGGGGTAGTTAAGTAATTTTACTAAAATATAGAGTCAAAGTGGAAATATCAATTCATCTAATCGGTTAGAAGAAATTGGGTAGATGAATGGTCCAGTAAGCGTGTAAAACTTCAGATCTCATCTAATTGTGTAGATGAATGGTCCAATAGATAGATAACTCTATCTAACTGGTTAGATAACTCTATCTAACGAGTTATCTAACCAGTTAGATGAAGAAAATAATCTAACCCCCTTTCTGTCCCATTCATCTAACCGGGTAGAAGACCCCATCTAACCGGTTAGATGGGGAAAACCCATCAAATCCACGCACTATCCATTCACCTAACCGGGTAGATATCCCTATCTAACTAGTTAAATGATACCCAAAGGTGAAGTGATCGGGCAGATCATTTCTTTAACCCGTACAGATGCAAACCAAAATATATAAATATGAAATATAGAGCTCCATGGATACCATAAACATCTAAACATGCCATAGAATCATCAAAATAATATCTTTCATACATCCTTCGTGAATCAAAATCATATTTAAAACATTCATACATGTGCAAAAGAATATGTTTACAAAATGATGAGGCCTCCATAGCTATAATTACAAAGGCTTCACTTGAAGCTCATAAAAGAATATAATTGCATTACAAGATCATCGTCTATGTTAATCTATTACAAAAAAGGTTAAAAATCAGTTTCTATACTTCTAAGCTTGCGGGGGTGTGTCGTTTACAATTTCCTTGCCATGTCCTAAAAATAATAAATAAGGGGTGAGCACGATGGCTCAGTAGGAGATGCCTAAAACATTGACTTTGGGCTCCCTTGAGTCAACATACAAAGAATAGTTAAAAAAAATCGGGATCATACAAGGGAATACCAATAAGCCCAGGATCAACACAAACACACCATTATGTTATGAAATGTCATACTTTCCCGACCACAATCCCCGCCCAACTCAACTAACAAAAAAAAAACATGCTAACCGACTTTACGGAGGCGAGATTGACTATTATCCCTGGCCTCAATTTCGATGACCATTTGGGGCCTAGTAAATCAACTTTACGCGTCTAAGTCCAGCACGCGCTCCCTCTAGGTCAAGATTAGCACCAGACTCGCGAAATCCGGTTTCTTTGATAAAAACACTTTCTCACAACCATTCCCAAACATACCCTTCAAAATCAATCAACCACAATTTCCTCCAAGATCATGTTCATGCTATGAAATGGGTTCATACATCATAAGCATCAAATTAATATAACCAATACTCTCAACAAATTTGGCATGCTTGACCTAAAAATAAAACATATCATTTCCAACCCCAAATCTCAAAATGGCAACTTTAACATCTAAACATGCTTTCACAACAACAAATTAGCAATTAAAATATACATTCAACAACACTTATAACATGGTTTCAACACTACGCACAAGACACCAAATCAAATCTTAAATCATCATTTTTCGCATATATAACATATAATCAAAACATAAACTCAAATTGAAGGCAAAGCAAGATGGTTTAGAAATCCCTACCTCACAAGATGCAACCTAAACCCCTAACTCCCAAGCTCAAAAATCCCCAAATGTGTGCAAGACCGGTACTAAAACGTGGCTCTTGAAAAGTAAAATAAACTTTCCTTCTTGCACCTTTTCTAGATCTCACTCTAGCTAACTCAAATCTTAGAAAGAAGCTTGAGATTTAAAGAGAGAAAGTGAAATGGAGGAGAGAGAGAGGAAGTTGGCTGAAGGAGAGAGAAAGGAAATGAGGTTGTGGTCTTTACTTGGCCATATTTCCTCAATGAATGGCTTAAAATAGGTCAAAGGTCCACCCAAACTC